TTGTACAGCATTTCAGGTTTCAGAACTTTCTGAAAGAAATTCAGAAGAAAAATGGTAGTAATGCTTTTGTGGCTTCTTCAAAGTATTTTTATGTTCCTATGAAATTTGCTTTACTAATAAAAAGAGCAGGAGAAAATACTTCCTGTATTTATGCAGAAAAGAATTCTCCTTTCCTTCCCTCCCTACCCCATTCCCTTCCATCCTGCTTTTGAGGATTCTGCTTTTAGAGTCAGAGCAACAAGTCTGGTACATTTAAAAGAAAAAGACTTCTATTAGATGATAAAAATTCCAATTAAATGTCATCTTTCACATAAAAGCTTGAAGCCAAAACTGGAAAAAAGCCAACAAAAAAAAAAAAAAGTGTGTCAAAATCCTTAGATTTTACATGCACAACAATCACATATGCATGAAGATATTATTACCCCATTCTCTACTATTCAAAATCAACTACAGAAATCCAAGAGTCTAGAGAAGTTGACTGTAAAAGACACTGCATGGAGCCCCGACAGTAGGCAGGCTGTGATTTGTCTACCCTCTGACTTTTCCCTACAAATACCAGCAATTATTCCTGTTCGAAGTTCTTTGGATACTACAGGCATTGGAAACCCAAGCTGGGGTTGATCGGGCACATCTACCTTAAACAAGGATAAAACAGCACAGACACTCCAGAGTGGGAACTCTGAAAAAGCACTGAAGTGAGGGTAAAGTATAAAGTTTCTTATGAGTCAAGGGAGAAAAACAAACCTGGACCTATATTTTCAGTCACACAGCTCTCTTTCTTAATCTTCCACTTCACACACTCTACAAGCATGCATTGGTTACACCTGTATTTCTGGCAAAGACCTCAAAAGCAACTCAGTTTTCCAAGGATGAGACCTAAGACTTGCTGGAAAAGGGGGAAAACGTTCCCAACCCATGATCATTTAAGTAGAGGTACACAAAATGACTAGTCATTTGGGAAAAAAACCCAAAATCACACACTCTTTTCCTTGTTGCCCTGTCTTCCCTGATTTCACAGCAGCAGTATTTTCTTCTAGAAAATACAACGAATGGTGCAGCCTGGGAAACGTTCTCTAATGGAACATCTTACCTGGTTAATAGCTTTTATCTTTGCCAGCAACGCCTCTGTGTGCCTCCCCACAGTACAGGCTCACCATCTGCCTTCGTTCTAATAAATGAACTCACATTACAAATACAGAGTGCAAACATACTCATATCCTGAACCTACTGCACCCAAGGGCCAGATGTTTTTGCAGAATGTATAACTAGTAAATGTTTATTCCCAAATGTTTGAAATGGCTCACAATCTTTCCTAATAATAACAAGCATAACCAGTGAAACATTAATCATAGCTACACTATGGGAGATAAAAAACCATAAACAAAGACTTACCTATTTTCATTAACTGTATCTTCATACCGTCTTTCCAATATAAAATTCTGCTTCCCAAATTGTCTTGCATGTATTACTGATGTTGCACACAATTGCATGTCACCCGCCTGCCTGCCTAGTAACATTAGTCTAGTTATGGAAGCTTCATTCCCAAAATTTCACCTTTTAGATGAACAACTCCTTTAATTGCCTATCATCCCTGGCCTGTGAAACTCAGAAAACTTTTTTCCTCGAGAAGCTTAAACATAATCTTACCTTATTTCCTTCACATACTGATGTTCAACACTGACATCCTCTCCAAATACACTTAGATCTTTCAAATAACTCTTGCAGTGAAATAGTTCCTAACTGGTAGTTTTTATCTCTCAATATATTCAGATGTATAAACTGTGCAACAAATCAAGAAAAAAAAGAACATCAGTTCGGCCTATAAATGACCTTTCAGATTTCATATACTGGTTTCCTCCTATAAGACTCAAGCTGTATGTTTTACAGTTGGCTGTTGATGCTTATACATGCTAGAGTTTCAGGTCCTACTTTTATAGCGCTTGTTACCTAGAAATGATGCACAATCAACCACGGGGCTAGCACTGTATTAAGTGCTTAAACATTATGCCTTTGGAACCCAAGGAACCTTCAGGTACCTGAAAGATGCACAGAGATAGGCTTTTAGCTATCAAATGAACCACACAAAACCTGCTGTGATATCACTACTTCAAAGTTCAGATGGATTTTTCTCAGTAGCCCACATTCCTAAGGACAGAAAGCTTACCCCTGCATACAGCATACGCACAATACATGGGTGGATTTCAGTCTTAGCCTGTCATCAACACATTGGACAGTATCAATCAAATTTGACAGAACAATAAAGGACACAAAATGTCAGAAGACTCAGAAACCATTATATTTCTGGAAATTTGATTAAAATAGCCAACAAACAGACCTTACTAATGTCTTCACTGATACACTGCCCCATTAACATGATCCCTTAGCATAAGATGTCTAATTCCAGTAGGAGACATCAGAGAATCCCACACTGGAAAGTGACATTTAGGATTCCCTAACCACAGGAAAAGCTTTAACCAGAGTTCGTATTTCATTAAACATCAGAGAATGTGATCACTCTGGTGAGCTTACACAAGCTTGGAAAGGCTGAAGGGTTGGGGAGAGTATATCCACTTTACTCAGCACTACAACAGCCACATGCATCCCATCAGTTACTGTATCTCACATGATGAGGCCAGGATTTCTTAAAGCTGACTCAACTTCCTCAAACTTTACCACAGTTACAAAAACTTGTAATGATTTAGAGTTCAAAGAAGCAAAGGCATAGAGACCAAATAAAGCTTTCTGACCATTCATCTGAAAATAATCTCTGCTTTATGACAACTACAGCTGAAGGCCTTTCTGGCAGGGGCACTAATGCATGCTACTTCATTTTCCAGGGCTGACTGGAAATGCGACTGAATGAGAAACAAAAAAATCAGAACTACTACTCTCCACTTAATGTGTTGCTACATATAAAAAGTGACAGTAGTTCCTCAAGCAGAAATACACAGAAACACTGAAGCTACACAAAAAGGTGTACTGTTTGGGCAACAGCTAGTTCAGTGTAAAAAGGAAGCCAGTGGCTGTCTGCAGCTAAGACTACTTGGTTGACTTAAACCTTCTAACTAATATTGTTAATACTTGCCTACCTTTCATTTCCTTTCTGGGATGCTCACCGCAGCGCACTTGCCTTTGCATACGCTGACAATCACATGCCAAAGTGAGGAGGAGCTACACAAGGCCATCCTTCAGTCTCATTTATGTGCTCTACACTCCGAAAGGACCAAACATTCAGTATTATAAGGCACTTGGTGTTACAGGGTTCAAACCCCACTAAAAATCAACAGAGCTCAGGCTACAACAAAGTCAGTGCAGAACTGCTGTAATAAAGATGAACATTTGCTGAGGGAAGCCACAAAATTATGATTGCGCGGATTATAATAACGCTATCATTGTTATACCCTTTTAAACATATTTTTTCATTTACTACAAATGTTACTAGAAATTTATCACTAATATGGCAGAAAGTGCTAATGGGTTGCGCAGCAGGGGTCAGCAATGAATAAATCCCCAGGATGATACTCTCCATAAAAAACCAGGAGATGTCACATAATAATCCTCCTCAAATAATCATTAGGAGAATTGTGTGGTTTAGTTTCTTTTTCCTCTGAGGCCAAAGGTTGATAACACAATAAATCCAGCTTTGGGGCTCATGGTGTCAGACCAAAAAAAAAAAAAAAAAAAAAAAAAAAGCTGTTCTTCCCTGACACAAAGCAATCATCTACTGCAAATTTATTTATAAACATATCATCTGAATTAGACCTCTGGCAGCTTCAATTTGCTCAAAAAATTCTGACTGGTTAACTTTGTAACATTAGGCTTTATGCTGGAAAAGTTATTACTTCTTTCCCTCTGTGCACAGACAGCCATGTCGAGTGTTAAAAAAAAAAAAATAATAGTTATCATACCTTACCTTATGGTTAGTTTGTCATAAACAGAGGCAAATATTCACCTCTGGTCCACATCAGATGTGTATGACTGGGTCATCGAGCAACACACAAGCCCAGTGGAACGACAGTCTAAGTCAATCAATCCCATCTTAATATATACTGCAAGAGATTAAATCCCTACTCAAAATAGGGAGCATTATGAGTATATATACATATATATATATATATATAAAATACTCATACACCCTCAAATAAAGCCACAGGTTGCTCAAGGACTTGCCCAGCCCATTTCCAAGGACGGAGGTTCCACAACTTCTCTGGACTCTATCCCAGCATTTGACCTCCCCTTACACACAAAAAATAAAAAAGCCCCAGTATTTCATTGGAATTTCCCTCGTTACAGCTGGTGTGCATTACACAAGATCGGTGCAGCCCATTGCACAAGTCACCAGATACTTCTGAGCTTCCTCTGCTGCAGAGCAGCTGTTCAAAATGCAGGCTAAAGATCCACACATGTTTTTGAGATTGTATCATCCAAGAACAAAGTGGTTCTGCAGTGCAAAGTGCCAGGGCTGTTGAAGGGAAAAGATGAACCTCCTGAAATGCTGTAGCATTAACAATGGCTTTTGGTGAAAAGAACAGCAAAAACCAACACTGCTCCTGAGACTGCTGGAAAAGAATTAAGATCTCTGCTCAGGAAAGAAGCAGCTGGCTACACTTGATCTAAAAGAAAGTACTTCTGACTCACTGATTTCAGTTCCAAATGGGAAACTGTCTTGTAAAACCTCAACTATTTCTGCTTATCAAATAAAGAACATCTGAAATTAATTAGGGATAAAGACAACCTGATCCTCTAACAACTCTCTTCAGGCATGAAATCAGATAAATTAGGATCTTATTTAGAATATAAATGTTTGTTTACATACCTAAATGCTGAGCACATTAAAAAGAGAATGATTATTGAAATACCAAAGCAGCTTACGTTATACAACTCAGAGTCTGTTTCATTTCTGTATCTGAGAAATTATACTCAGAAATCCTAGGAGTACTGAAAGCAGATGAAATACTTTAACAGGCCACAAAAAAACATAGGTGATAGGAAACACAGGATACTTATTTAAAAATAGTTTTTAATAAAAATGGAAATAACAATTATGATAATAACTAATGAAAACTAGTGCTTAAAATTAACCATATTTAGTGTGCTTTACCTGATTCTCCAGCAATGCTGCACAGGATTTACTTTAGAAGCTGGAATACAGATACTCAACAGGCCGGCTGCATCACTAAACCACCTTAAATTTCCTTTAGAAATAGCATTCATATTTCATATCTGAGAATGAAAACTGGACACAGTCACTTCTGGTTTACCAGAAATATGAGCACACACAAGGAAAAACTACATGCTAGTTCCATTTCAAACAAGCAATGCTGTTGGTAATCAGCAAGAACTTATGTCTTACTGAAAGGCTTCTGAAATTTGCTTTGAAGAAAAACTCTTGGAACACGCAAGTCTTCTTTCCTATTCACAGTTTCTCGCTGCACGTATTCATTGACCACTTCCTCATATCCCTCAGCCTTGAAAAGCTGAGACAAGAACTCTGGAAGAGAATTTTTAAAAAAAATAAATATTAAGTTTAAGCTATTTTTAAAACACTAGTCAGCATTTATATAAGCATATGCTGTTACGTGTTACAGCACGAAAAACACACAGACCTTCAGATTTCAAGCTATTGTATGCAGGCAGACTGCTGAATAAAAATCGATACAGATCTCCTTTAGAAACACCAACCTGAGCAAAACAGCTTGCAAAACGTGGGCTTAAGCTTGTTACTCAGTTTAGTTTCCAAAACTTGCCAATCTCTTATTTTTATTGACCTTGTCATTCTCCTTGTGACTGATACCAATGCATTTTCACTTTTTGCAAGTGACCTTCGCTAGCTGAATATATCACTTATTTCAAGTATTTCAAAGGTAATCCACCCTCGCAGTGAACACCACTCTTCATTGCCAGGCATTCATGTGCCATTGCCCAACAGAAAAATGGACAAAATGGCAAAGTGGATATGGTGGTACCAAGCCTCCACTAAGTCAAACTGAAAGTATTTTTCCATAAACAAAAGAATCTTACTCAAAGCATATCTCCTTTAGGGAAGGCAGAAGTACCTCACAAACAGGGTGACCTCTGCAGCAGAGACGGGTGCTCATGCTATTGACCTGCCATGTTAATTAAAAATTAGCACTTTTCCTTGCCTACACCTAGTTTCATTTACTCATGAGGCAATTTCACAATAAATCTAAGCCATTCTAAACGTGTGCTACATGATAGAAAACAAAGACATGCCATTTTTTCCCTGCTCAGGGGGATCAGCTTGACGAAACAGCTGATCACGTGGGTACAGGAACACCAGCACTAGAAGAAGTGTGGCTGAGGAAGGAAGATGAGACCACACGTTTTGGTGGTAGCACAGGCTTTTATGAACCTAAACCCATCATGAAGCCACATGCACTGGCTGTAGACATACTGTGTTCATGTAAAACGGGGGACACACATCAATGTAATATAAATAAACAGTACCTAATTGTGGACCAACTGAAACCTCATTGTGAGGAAGCTGTACATATTTCATAACAGAAAACTGCAAACATGCATCCCTCCACAAATTTAATATTATTTCAAACAGTGGATGAATGGATATTTTTTTCCACAGAAGAAGCTCAGTGTTGTTATCTGAGGCCAGACATACTATAAATAAGTATACTCAAATCGCCCCATGCAGCAATTACTTGGTGGTACCAGTGTAGTGCCAAACAAATGAAAAATAGTACGAGTTGCAAACTGTGCAGAAATGATGGGAGTCATACTTCTAGTAATAAAAGAATTCTCAAGCATTAAGCAATATTTGTATGAAAAATTGTGAGATGAATGAGATCGTAATGATTAAAAATGGGAGCAGAGGTAGTCCATGAGACAGCCACAGACCCTCCCAAGGCAAAAAAAAAATTGCTAATATGAGCAATATAAATTCTTTTTCTCCTCCTTTCTTTTTCCTCCTCCCTATCTCAGTTCTTCCCCTAAGCAAACATGCACACTAGCAAGGAATTTCTCATCCAGAAACAATTCCTACACTCAAGAAAAATGGGATTTAAAATTCCACAGCTAGGTCAGTTTCTTATTTTTTCCCCTGTAGCCTCCATTCTCCTTGTAAGAGCTAATTGTTTAAACAGAACTAAAAATCACTCAGTAAATCTCAGCTCTATAAATGCTTCAATGAAGCTGTAGCACAGCCTGCATTATCTTAGATTTCATTCTTGTCCTATAAAGAATAGCAAGAGCGCAGACAAGATTAATGTTTTTTTATATATCAGAAGCAATTAGGCAATACGTTATGTCATAAAATATGAGTAACATTTACTTGGCCCCAAATCTGTCTCTTCAGTGGCTGTATTTCGCTTTAGTCTAAGAACAAAGATCCCGACAGAAATGAACACACAACTCTTATTACACAACGTCCTATACTTGATAGGGGGAAGTAGCAGTTCACTGAAGTTCAGCACAAGGAATTGGGAGTTGAGGACAAGATATAATCCCAATTTATTGTGAGAGTGTAAGAAAATTCCTTCACAGGTCTGTGCTCTAAATTCTCCTCTAGTAAACTGCAATAATTATCTTCCTTCCCTAAAGCATTATGAGCACTGAACAAAAAACTGTTTAAATACTGTATCACATGGAAATGTTTTCTTGCATCATCTCTACCAAAAAGCAGAAGACAGAGTGACCACAGCTGGCCAGTGCTATCTCAGCAGGATTTGTACACAAGCTTCTCAGCACTGTAGTCATGGTTCTGCTTTAGAAATCATTGACTTCTTCAGTAGATCTCATCTTGCACACCAGGAATAGTCTTGCAAAAAGAACCGTGCCAAGAGAACTCCTGAGCTGCTTCATGGACATCATCAATTGTGTTACTGTACATTGGTCTTTTTCCCTTAAATAACAAATGCAGCAAATCCAAAAGCTGCTGCTCTTGGTACACAATAGCACATACAAGAAGCTTGTGAACAAGAAAGGGCTCAAAAAATCCTGCCAGTCTAAATACCCTGTTCCTCCCAAAAAGGATGGTGAATGAAGTACACCACAATTTAACAGTTCATCTGTGTAAAACAAAACTTCCATGGGCATGTTTGCAATTCCCTGAAGCAAGTTTACACACAAGTTTCGCAGAAAAGAAAGCACTCTACAGAATGTCTTACCTTTAGTAAAAAAATATGATCTTGTCCCATCTTGTCTGACATAGAAGTTTTCTCCAAGTTTGCTGCCAGATTTAAACCTGAGCATTGCATGATCATACAGTCCATAGTCTCTGAACAAGACACACTTGCCTGGTTTTAATACCTGTCACATAATATATACATGCTTTAATAAGGTAAACAGATTTAGCCATATATATATATATATTTATTTGTATACACATACAGGCACATACACATATAACTAAGACAAGGCATCCTAACATATTCAATACAGAAAGTGAGATATATATATTGAATTCATTCCCTGTGCAACAAAACAGTTGTATATAAACTGGACTGTTTAATATATAACTGGACATTAAAAATGCTTCCCCATGAACAGTAGACTACAAATAGTTTTAAGATACCCATTTGGGTGCTGATCAGGTAAAGCAGCTCTTTTGCAACACTCTTCAAATACAAGCAAAGAAAAAATATACAGTTTAACAATAAAAATTGTTAAAATTGCCCCTAACAGGGCATTTTCTTTGCTGAGTAGTACACAGTCTAGCACCTGATTTTGCTTAATGATTAACAATACAATTTAGAACAGTACTGCATTTCTTTTTCCATGTGAGAAAGAAAAATGTTGCAATATAATAAGAAATAAAAAAGGGATACTTTCAGGAAGACTGGTTGTGGGCTTGAGCATTTTTTAATTGCTCTTTGGTAAAGCAATCAAGCCATAAAGAGTTTAAAATTTAGAAAAATATGGTCATTGGTCACGCTGACTTTAGATGTTTGATGCATGCAACCCTCCTACCTCATTAAATACCAGCTGTATTTGTTAGAGGAGAAAAGGAGTATTTGCCACTTGCAAATTTGTGCAGAAACCTACAAACGAGTTAAACGAGCCAGGTATCTCTACAGGGAAAACAATAATTATCCTTTTCATGTTCACAAGCTAAGAACCAATCCTGACTTTGCAAAACAGTTGGAGATATACCAAAAAAACCCTAAAATTCCCTTTCCAAACTATTGATGATAAAACAAACAGGATGTCTGATAAAGTAAAACCCCAAATACATACATATGCATAAATAAAAAATACATTGACTATTTCCCTCTGCAGTCAATATATGACATCTCAGGGAAATTTAGAACAATCACAATTTAGATTGTTTAAACCACCCTCTGGATGGGCCTATCCTAGTCTATCCACTAACAAAGGCAGGCCAGGGACATGAGTCTCTCTAGATTAATGCTGATCTCTGAACACCCCACTCTCTAAAGGAGCAGGGATCAATGGTGTTTAATAATAGCAGTAACATCCTAACTGCAAGTCATTGTATCTTCTGGATGTCAATTTCGGTTCACTGTCATTCACACCTTATCAACACAGACATGTCTGCAATGCATAATTTGTAACGTACAACCTAGGACCCCAAGTCCTAGGCTGTAAAATCAGCTGGTTTTACCTTGTAAATGTTCTTCAAGACAAGATGCATTTTGTCAGGATGAATGGCAGAAAGCACAAATATAAGTGTGACAACATCCACAGAATCTGCAGGTATATTTTCCAGAAGATCATCTTTGGTAAGATCACACTGGAACACTTTGCATCTTTCAGTACTGTATAAGGCATTTTTCTAGGGAAATGAAAAGAGTATGCTTTCACTAAAAATTTGCAGCATTTATTATTGCAAAAAAGTAAAAAACTTGTGAAACTAATCAGTAGGGCGGCACCAAACATGGTGACAAAAAAACCATTAACTTCCAACAGGAGACTAATGCAATCAGGAATTCTTCACTCCATACTACAATAGTGAAACTACAACTATTAGACTAGTCTGTTCTCAGGAATTTGAGAAGAAATGTGGGTTAAGACAGTTCAGAAAACATACCATTTCTGGTTTACTGTTGCTTCTACTCTTTAAAAATACAGAAATATCATTAAAAGGAATTCTGTATTACCAGGAGATCAAAGTACAGCTCTTGAGCTTCAAGCAGACTGTACACAGCTTGGATTCATGTCACATAACCTGCAGCTGGGCCGTTGTAGCCCACAGTCCCACTGGGTAAAAGGAAACCTGGTCTTGGCAAGAAAGATGTTCAGCAAGAGCTGTGGAGGCCATCACCACTAAGTCATCCAAAAGCAGGGTACACACTCAGCCCAACTTCATCTTGCAGTGCAGCTGTGGCATCCCAGGGAGCCACTGTCCTCTCCTGTTTGCCACATGTATTTCTTCCCATCTTTCCCATGAGATATACAGGATGTGTCTTGTGGTTCTCAATTACAAATATCCCACAAGAGACTGCTTTCAAGTAACAGATGTACAGAAATCTACCCATGTTTACAAACTTAATAAATAAGGAGATTTTTAAAGCCCAAAGCCCACAATAGCCTTGCTGGAAGACTTAACTTTGGACTGCAGTACCACTTACTATGAACAAACATACCTATTTCTAATCAGACCACAAATTTCCTGAACAATACCTTTCATGGCCCTGTTTTCAAGATTCTCCTCAGGACTCTCTGTTCCTCACAAATATTAAGGGCAAGCTTCCATCCCAAATAAATTTTGCTTGTCCTGCACAGTCAGCAGAGACACAGTAGTGCTCCCAAAAAACACACTCTTCACAAATCATTCAAGGAACGTAATATACATGTATTAGCATAATACTACAATTTGACGCTGAAAAACTAGGTCTTGAGCAATGATTTGGCGTCTTGCATAGGAGCTCCACTGAAATGGGTCAGTCTCCATTTTCAGGTCAGTCTCCCACCCTTCTAACAAAAAGGAAGGCAAGAGAAGCCTCTAAAAATACTCTAAGAGGAGTTCCAAATATCACACCAACCTTCACATACTCAACAGCTCTAGGAGAAAAATCACAGGCATATGCAAAAATATTCAGATCTTCTTCTAAGAGTGGAAACAAGCAGTTCCCAACCCCACAGCCTGCTTCCAGAATGGTCAGTTTCTGATCTGCAAACTGGAGAGAAATAAATCCAAGAATAAGCACATCATTTTTTTCCCTCATAAGCAGAGACACTGTTCAGTTAGCATTTTAAATTTCATTACTATTGATTCAAAAACCGAAGTAGGCATACCTTGGATAATCTGACACTACGAAACAGAAATCTTGATTTCTGCAAAATTACAAATTTTCTTAGAATATATTAATATTTCTTTAATCATCTACCCTTTAAGTAATCAACAGATTGCTGTACCATTTCTGTCTTGTCTTTCAGCTATAATGAGCAAGAGATTCATCTGGCTATTCCCCTTAATGATGTTTTGCAGTCAGCCTGCAATTCTGGATACTTTTCATTAAGGTAGTGCTCTGAAGTGCACCAACTTGCATCTGAAAACATCAAATCGCAGAGAGACAAGTTGTTTATTTAGAACACAAAACAAATACTCCAGATTTCCTTCTCAGTATCCAACATGGGTCAATTATAAACTGAAACTGAACCAATGCATCTGATTCTGAGGAGGTACCTTTGATACTACAAGAGACTACACAGGGCACTGCAAACTGAACATGTGACAGTTCTTGCCCTAATGGCTTTGTTAGAAGTATTATTAAATAATTTGGACACAATCAATCCCATCTTTTACAGAGGAATTTTATAGACCTCACCTCCCGACATGCTTTTAACTCTTGAAACTCTCTGGTTGTCCAATGTCTGTCTTTGAAGAAGTTGGTGCTGTTTCTTTTGTAAAACAGATCCCAGTTCTTCTGTGCTTCTTTCTCCAGTTTCAGTTGTTTGAACTCAGACACCAAAACCCGATCTTTTGCCAGTCTCTCAGCTTCTTCTGGGCTAAGGATTCTTGCACTGTGGCCTTTTATTTGGAAAGCACCATCTTCATTATGTGCTGTTATTATGCTTGAGCAATTGGCTGATGCATTTTCTTGGAACATCCTAGATTCTTTCACACAAGTGTGAATGCCAAAGACCCAAAGGTGATTTTTTTTCTTTAGTGTATGTTTCCATCACTTAACTTAGGTAAAATAACCAAGTATCTAGAAGCAGAAGAAAAAATGAGAAAGAGTTACAGCATGCACTTGTTACGATTTTGTGGTGATCTGTTCTACCCGATGGACTGCAAAACTACCAGATTTCTCTTCATTTCAGAAATCCTTCGTCTCAACTAACTGCATATGACATCATACTGATGTCAAAGTTAAAGAAGATATTCAAGAGTCTGCTAGTCTTCTCTCTGCATCCTAGAAAGCTACCTAACAAGAGGAAGATGGCATAAATCTAAGCTTATTTTCATTAAAACTGACTTTAAAAGGAAAGCAAGGGCTTTGTTTCTTGATAACCCCAGTTAGAACATCTCAGAAAAGTCATAATTGAAAAACAAGTGACATTTAGAAGTCCCATTAAAGTTGATGGAACGAAGTGTATTTGTATTAGCATTTCTCCTTCCTGCTCTCACCTCGGTGAGAAAACATTGGTGAAAACATCAGCATTTACACCACCACGTCACTCGAACAAGAGAGCAAAACAAGCACTGTGGCCAAAATGCCCATGGCTGGCCTACGCCAGCATTCCTTCCACTGCCCCCTCCTGAGGATCCGTGCCAGTTTAAACAATCACAAGTGGCTTTATTTTCAGAAATTAACCAAAAAAAAGGCGCAACAAAAAGGGTTCTGCATAGCCTGGAAAGGGATTCAAATCTTTTCCCTGATGTTAAGCTAGTTCTGACCCCTGCCTTGCCACGAATGTCCTCATTCTGGATGATGGCACACGTGGATTAAATCCTGCTCCAAGGGAAGCCCAGGCAGCCAAAATGTGCCACTCCTGTACGGCAGTGCCTAGAACTCGGTGTCACTCTGCCAAAACAGAAATGAGAAAAACTCAACAATACCCACCCTAAAGCAAAAACAAAGGAGCACTACTTCGCTTACATATTTTATCTTACATGATGCAAACAGGAACGTAAAACTACAAATGTGAAAAAATTAAATAAAGAGCCACCAAAGTTTTGTCCAGCTTCACGGGAGACAGATGGCACTCCCTTTTTCCCTCAAAACCAACGGAAAAGGTTGCAGAGAAGAGGCTCCCTTGAAGGAAAGGGAGTATCTCCTCAACAGCTTAATCAGCAAAATTTCTACTATGTGGTGGGCACGCTACAAAATGACCAACGTTTATATTTCTTCACAGGACAAACTAGAAAAAAAATAAAATATCCAAACTAGTCTTTTCTCTGAACCATTTGCGCTCAGAGAACGCTGTGGTGGGAAGTTATCGATAAACACGGTTTTATCAGCCAGTGTTTAGGCTAAAGAGCCTTTCAAAGGTTTTTAATCCAGCTTTAGGACCGGAAACAGATAATACCCCTGTGCCAGCCCCCGGTGTGTGTCCCCCCCGTCACAGGGAACCCGCCTTCCCGCCAACCGCTGCTCCCCTCAGAGGGGCCGCGGCCGCCATCGCCGCCCCGACTACCCCGGAGGGACGGGCCCCACCGTCCCTGCCCGGCCCTCCTGAGGGCGGGGAGCGCCGGGCTCCCACCTCTCCTCAGAGGGACGCCCCTCCGGGCACCCGCACCCCCCTCCGTGGGGACAGTAGCCCCTGCTCGGCCCAGCGCCCCCGCCTCGCCTGCCTCGTCTCTCCTCGCCGTACCCGCCGCCGGCCCCGGAGCAGTTTCCCGGCTGCACTCGGTCCCCCGGAAGGGCGCCGGGCGGCAGCGCACGGAGGAGAGGAAGGGACCGGCCGGGCCGGGAGGGGTGGGGACGGGACGGGACGGTACCGGGGCCATGAACGGCTCGGCGAACTCGCTGCTGGACAAGGAGGAGCACCCGCTGCAGCTGGGCGAGAGCTTCGAGCGGCGGCCCAAGGCCTCCTTCCACACCATCCGCTGTGAGCGCCACCCCTTCTTCCATCCCCCCGAACACCCCCGGCCGGCCCCGCCGCGGCCGCCCCTTCCTCCCCCTTCTCCTCCCGCTCCCCGTGTCCCGTCCCCCGGGGGTGCTGCACCCACCGGCGAGCCCCCTTTCCTCAGACCCCTTCCCCCGGGGTGGGGAGCAGTCTAAGGTTTTCCTCCCGGGGTCCCGCCGCGGCTTCTTACCCGTTAAGGGCCGTCCCCTCCCGCCGGCCTGCGGGGGCCTCCAGCCCGCCACCACCAAGCCTTCTTGCCCTCCTCACCGGCTCCTCACCGCCTCCTTCGTGCCGACACCCCAGGGCTTCATCCCCCACCTCAGCGCCCATCTTCCTTCCCGCCAGAAATGACCCCCCCCCGGCGGGCAGCCTGAGGGGAGGTGGGTGCCGGAGGATTGAGGGAGGCAGGTCGGGGGAGGAGGAGGGCGAACGGCTGAGGAAGTTTTCCATGAAGCGTGCGTGTAACCTCTTAGGGGTACAAAAACCATCCCCCCCCCCCCCCCCCCCCCCCCCCCTTTTTTTTTTTTTCCAGCTGAGCACTTGCCTCTCCTCCGTGCCCATCAAATATCCCGAAGATGGAGGGGTGAGTCTTGTTCACCAGGTCAGTGATTACTTCGAACCTGTCCTCCATGTGATCCCTCCGGCCTTGGATGGAGTAGACAGCCACGTTGTGGCTCTTGAACACCCCCCCCCCCCCCCCCCCCCCTTCCTCCGTGAGGGGGTGGCTTGACATTTTATTTTCTTTTTTTTACTTATTTTTCATGGAGGTTGCAGGACAGGTAGGTCACCACAGGCCCCGGCCTGGCGGCAGTGCCTGGAGAGGAGCCCAGCTGGTCAGCAGCCCAGGCGCCCACAGTTTGATATTTATTTATATATTTAACTAGTTATTTTCGCCATGAGGCAACGTGTAACCCAGCAGCCCCATCCCTGGCTGTGCCAACTCCAGCCAGCTGTGATAAGTCACTTCCCAGGAAAGCAAGCAGAAATTACTCGTACAGTAATTTTGCATACAGTACTGCCTAAGAAGTGTAAAAGGTAGGGTCCTGAGCAGTTACGAAGCTTTTTGAATAATTGGAAAGGTATGTGTTTTATTGAAGACACCAGGTATTGTTCCAGCTGTTCTATTCTGGCGTTGGGTACGTTTAATTTCATGTCAGAGTATTGTTTTGAGGACGAGCTCATTGTATCTCTGTACTTGAATTCTGTGGGCAAGAAAATGCTTTTTCATCTCCTAAATGAGTCTGAGATTTAAAATCACCAACAGTAAATTAAAGTGATTTTAGTAAATTTATATCTCAGTAGCTTTGTATTAAGGTGGATAATTTATACAGTTAACAGTAGGATTTTTTTGTGTTGTGATGCATAATCTTAGGCCCAATCTCATGCCCCGTATTCATACACTACAAGTAAGTAATTTCAGTGATATTAGCCACCCAAGTGCGACTTGGAAGAACAGCTTTCTAGACTGAGCTGTTACTCAAGCAGATGGTCAATGATTGAGGCAAAGCTATTTTGCTCAATAGGAAACTCTGTCTAGTGGATTAACACAAATTTTGTGTGTTTCACCCCTCTGGTTATACATAATTCCACTGTGCTAAAAAATACCATGCCATATGTTTGGTACATTTAACTGTTATATGTAACACTGAACAGTTTTATCCAGCAGTAACAAACTAGCAAATACCCATTTATAAATCAACGTTTTAAAATAGCCTGACTATCAAAGGAATGAGATTGTTGCCTGATAGTGTGTGAATTAAACCTAAGCCATATCTAGGTAGAAATACACTGGATTTCTTAAAGTGCTTCAATAATCAATCTTCTAAGGGATTGCAAAGTCAAAGCTCTTCAGACTATAAATGGAAGCATGCAGTTTTATTTCAGAAGAGCTTCTATTTTCTACCCGTGACTTTCAAGTGAGATCTCTTCATTTCCTGCTTATAAATTTGTTTTCTAACTGTTGATCTGGAATGATTTATCTGAGATTCAAGCATTATATTGTTCCTGTAATCCTCTTTACACAAACTACAATAAGAGGATTTTGTAGGCTAAATTTATTTCGGCCTTCTTAAAATACTTCATTCCTTTCTGTAATGTTTATGAAACACTGTACTGAAAAACTGGATTATCCCTGGAAAACACATCTTAAAAACATTTGACTTTTGGAAAAAGGACTGTGGGCACATATGCACACTCAATCTACAGCAAGATTAGCCAAGCATGTACACCTAGTAAGCTAACCAAATGAAAACAAATTGTTGAGTGTTTGTTTAGAGTAACTATATTTTGTTGATACCTAAGAAAAGAAGTGTGATGGTGATATTCCTTTTAATTCAGTGGCTGTGCAGTTGAAATTCTTGATCCCTTTTTGGCAAAGACACCAGCTCTTGTACGGCTGGTTTGTTTTATTTAGCAAGCTTGCACATAAAGTAGGTGGGAAACAATAGCTAGAAATAGATTGCTCAGATGAAAATGAAGGGTATGATTTGGTCTGGCAGTTAAGGCATGAGGATTAAGTCAAGTGAGCCTGGTTACAGCACACTTGCTTGCCATTAATGTCCTCTTAGTGAGAATTTATTACAAGCTGGGGGCTTGGGGTTTTTTTCTGCAAACGTGGAATTATATTTAAAATTTGTTCTGAGATATTAATTTCTTAACTAATGAAGTAATTAAAAGCCTTGATCGTGAATATGGTTGCACCTCTGCATATCCAGAGACGCTAGAATTGAATGGGGACTTATTTTAAAAACAAACAAACCAAAACAACCTCTATCTGTCTGATCTTATTTCCCTTTGTCTAAGTCCTCTGTCAAAATATTACCAGTTCTGATAGTTCTTTCTGGGTTTTGTGGCTCATCAGCATGACAGAATATGAGGGGAAAATACTTTAAAGTTAAAATATTCTGCATTCAAATAAATACACTAAACAGAAGTGCCTTTTTTGGGGGACAAAGCGTTCCATACAATGCAGCTTAAAACTAGGGCCAGCTTATAGCTATTACAGTGTCTTACCTTTGTCATGGTTTCTATTCACAGTGTCTTTGGAGTAGTATGGAGCCTGCTGATGTAAGATCAGCACCTCTTTTTTTCCTTATAGGTGAAATCTGAGGTCTCCTCTACCCTGGAGGACATATTGTGGAGGCAAGATGGCTGTTAAATAGCCAGAAATATCAGCAAGGCTAAATAAGTTGATGTCACTAAATTAGTCTTTGTCACAGAGGGAGTTCTCAGGAGCCACATGAGCCTCAGGAGTAAATGTGCAGTGACTCTTTGCCAGGCAGGATGGCACTCCTGAAGACTCCAAGAAATGTAATTGCAATTGTTTTCCTCTTTAGATGATTTTAAGCCAGCATCGATTGATACATCTTGTGAGGGGGACCTTCAAGTGGGTAAAGGAGATGATGTAACAATCACTTTGCCACATATTCCGGTAAGTTTGTTATATACGTGTCCTTGTTTACTCTCCAACAAATCTGCACTGTAGTTATAGTCTAATATAAATGTTATTTTCATTTTCATCTTTGTTCATACAAATGGGTTCAATACGTGAGCAGCCAGACTTGTGGTGTGTTACCTTAAGAAAGGACTGTACAGTTGAATCTTTGTAAAGAGTTATATTTGTAAGGTTCCAGGCTCTTCTTTACTTTTGGTTCCTTCCTCCTTGCCCTTGAATAACAAGAAGACTTCTGCTGTTAGCTGAAGCTCTATTCCAAGTTTCCATCCATTTTTAGTGCTATGGCTTAATGAATAAAGATAGAGTAATTTGGACTTCAGTCAAGGTTTGATGTTCAGAAGCCACAGGTAGGCCTGTGACCATATTCTTCCCGTTACTAAAACGTGCAGGTGGCATAGGGAGTTCCCTGCTTTTAGCTTTATGAGTGGAGGTGAGGGGGGTGGTTCTGGTGAGTGGCAATGAAGTAGTTTTGTATCCACTTCCTACTCAAATTATGCCATAAAATCTCCTTTGTGAGGATGACAGTCAAACCGCAGTAAAACAAGTGATCAAACTGTTTATAGGTGGAGCTGTTTTGTATTTGGAGGTTCAGTGGCTTCCTTACCAAAACAAAAGAAAGTGCTTGCATGCTAGAACTGGATTAGTTTATTAGCTGAAGTTAATACTATGTGTCAAGCCAATAAACCAGAATTCAACGACATCAATGGGTCTGGTGGTTGCAGGGGGGCAGCAGTCAGTTTGAAAGCCGTATGTCAGATCCTTTTGGTATTGTTTATTCTAGCATGTTGGTGTTTTTAATTGGTACTGTGATAATTCTCACTGAATGAGGCTTTAGCCTGCTTCCCCCTGCTCCTGTTTTTTATATGGCTTTGGTCACCTTTAGCGCTGCAGGAGGTCATATACTGGTTTTTATCTATAAAAAAGATGAGCATGGTAGTGCTATGTGAGAGCAGGCAACAATACAATGAATAGCAGTGGCATTAATCTTGGTTTGACTGATAGCAGTGTTGTTTATTTATCTTTTGTGTAGAACAACATCACTTGTAATGTCCCTTTCCGAATCTCTGTACTGATGAGTTTCATTTGACTGTCTTCACATGAGTATGAACACCTTTAAGCTAATAGTATGTTTCAGAGGCTTGGGCAGCTAACTGCACTGAATGCAGCCACTGTGCCTGTCTTGCTCCAAGGCCTGTGTTCCAGTCAGAGAGCTAGAAAACACTGAGCATACTGGAAAAGAGTGAGAAGTTTTGAGATCGTTTCATCCTAACACGATTTACTGAATTTCTTGGATCTTGCTTTGACTCTCAGTTGCCTGACAACTGGATAGGATTCAGATTCTAAGATGTTTTTTGAAATTGCCTGGTCCCTGAAGATATCTCTGATAATTTGTTCAGTGAAGTTATTTTGGTGTCCCTTGCTGCTTGGATAAATTGAAGTGCTATTTCTACATGTGGATTTAGTGGCTTTAATATTAGATAAATAGTCTTGGTTGAGGAAGTGAAGAATTTCTCCTTGTTAAAAAGCCCTCACACATGAAAACAAATTGATTAAATGTCACCTGTTTCACCTACCTCCTCCTTCAATCCTGTAATCAGCAGAATCTGTAAGCCACTGTTATTTAGGCACTCACATAACATTTAATTTTAAGTAGAAGGGTGGGACTGCTAATTTGCTTACACATTTAATTTTAAGTAGAAGGTGGGACTGTTAATTTGCTTAAGCAGGATTCAATTTCTGCTTATTTTTTTAGCCAAAATCACACTCTTTGCTGAGTTAGGAGGCTTCTGGGTAGCAGAATCAATTTTTGATTAATTTTCATTAAATTTGTGCATTACGCGTTTCCTGAATTAGTTGTCAACAGCGAGCAGGA